AATGAACATTCCCTTTCTGTTTCGGTCTGTCCAGTTATTGGAGACATTTGATTAAGGTGATAGACAATGATTTATGGTAATGACACACATATTGTTTGATTAACGCTTTCACCACTGTGGACCGCAATGGACTCGCCCAGATCAATGCATGGTAGAGTTTACGTAAGGTTATATAGGGGTGAAAGAGTTAAGGGTCAATACTATAGACTAAGAAATTTTCTCCCAGTCAAATGTTTGCCCTTCGACGATAAATTCTATTTTCGCCCGCCAATAGATACGCCCTTCAAATTTAATTACCACGTATATTATATTGTTAACAATTTTTGCTGTAAAGATAAATAAGGGCAAAAGGGTGAACATTTTCTGGTATACAGTACACATATTATTTAATTGTAGCTGTAATTACATTTCGCAGTTCATGAATAATACACATATCCTCGGACTAAATTTATGCTATATATATATATATGTATATAACCTATCTGCATTTTCCAACTACCTAGCCTTTCAGGTCGCCAGGTATATGTTTGTAAAATAATCTGACTGCAGGCATTTTCATTCCGTTTGTTACCTTGGTATACCTGTAATTAGTGGATACGATTCTCACAGGTGAAACTGAAACCCATCATCATCCTAGAATGTTGTAACGTACCTAGGATAGGTGGATATAGGGACAGCAGCCAGAATCGACAATAGTTATAGGCAACACATGTACAGCTATACAGAATAGATAGATAATGAAACACAGATTTCACCATTAACACACAACATTTTCTCTTATTCCTTAATATTAAATGGAGATAATTTCAATTAAAAGAAGAAAAACGAGATGTTCTTTCGATTTAACAGGTTCTCAATGTAGCTATATAGTAAAGATTAAGAGATAGTTTTTGTTCTGAAGAAAATTAAAGAGAAACATTTCATTGAAAACAAAGGGTACGAGACGAAACAAAAGATTCTCAGTTCATTGTCCTTTTTCGAGCTCAATGTAGATACAATTACATATCATAGATGTATTGCCAAGGTGACGTATTGAATGTCAACAAAAGCTGAGAGTTATTAGAAATAGGGGTTTCTATTTCGGTTTTTAGCTAAATATACACTTTCATAATATGCAAGATAATGAGGTACAATGTCAACAAAATCTATAGGAAATTATAGTTCATATTTTAATTGCTCCAAAATAGAATCAACAAGTAAGACATACACGGAGTAGGGAGGCAGGTGGTACAGTGGAAAGCACACTTGCCTTTCACAAAGATAGCCAGGGTTCAATTCCCAGATCGGATGTGAACAAATATTGGGTCACCTCAGCCCAATCAAAAGGGGGGTTTCACCGGGTACTCTGGTTTTGTCTTACGTTGAGACCCTCTTTGCTCGCCTCCTGACCAAGGCCAACAAAAGTGATTAATATAGTTTTGAATAACTTGTTTCATAATTGTTTTAAAATAAATGAAGGTGATATTTATATACTGAAGGGAGATACTGACGTCCTATGTATGTACAGGACTTCGTTGTGTTGAAGATATATATAGCCTAGCTATTACATTTTATAGCATTCTAATCGACAGTATTTTTCATAATTATTAAAAATATTTTCAGGAATATGCACATGCTACAGGAATTGAAAGTGTTTGTCCTCAGATACTTGACTCAAAAATTCTCTTTGTAAACATTTTTGATTTTTTTTTTTTTTTTTAATGGATCATTAATCTGATGGAGCTAGACTACTGACTCACAAATACTTGTCTAGAAAAACAAAACAGTTGCAGAATTCATCGATTGTACTTTGTGTATTTAATGATGGCACTTCCTGGCCAATGGTATCCGAAACATTCGTATGTGAACTAGAAATTATAGTGGAAGTGAAATGCGTCAGTGTACATATAGCTATGAGAGCCAGTGTTCCCTTTCTAGTGATTATTTTCAAATATGAAACATTTGCTTTAAATCGAAAACATATGTGTTGCTATGACAACCGGAGGGAAACAAAAGACGCCTTTGATTCCTGGACGGATAACTACACTAGAAGATTTTTAATGGCATTTTTTTTCTGAAATAATATTTACGTAACTTTACTGCAAGTGAAGCTCAGAGATTGGGGATATAGATACAGACGCCATGTTGAAGCCTGCCGATACAGATGGCTAATAGATTTAAATGACGCTAGATCAACAGTCGTCTATATCATTTGAAAGAAATTATATTTCTGTGAAAAAAAGACATTCAAGATATCTGCTATGCTTAGATCTCTGCCTTTATCAAATAAAAGGCTAACTCGTTTTGTTACATATTTTTACTCACATAGACATTTCGTGACATGTTGGATGCAGACAGATGTCTGGTGAAATATGTGTACAAGTTGACATGCTGTTATGAAGAATGTCTAGTTTCCAGTACAGATTTCATTATGTCATACAGATCAACTGTAAGGAAGGCCTGATATAATGACCATTTTTTAAATTCGGCACCTCGCCACATATCATCATTGTATTTTTAGGTACTATTTTTTTCCCCTTATCATTTTCTTGATACTTATTCACACAATATCACCAAACCCCTTTCTAACACCAAATTCTCCCTAGACAAATGGTGGTAGTATAACAAGGTTTTCTTTAGTTATTTGGTATGGACTCGTCTACAGGATTTTTTCCTTTCATCAACGAATGGTGTACTGGATTAGTAAATCCTGATACTATGTTTTTCTTCCTGGTCTATTGTATTCGCATTACTTTTTGTGCCTATAGCTTAAAGCATACATAGAAAGAATTAGGGAAAACATGATATTAACCAAAAACATGATATTAACCAAAAACATGATATTAACCAAAAACATGATATGTGTTATTGTGATATTAATTTAAACCACTGTTCATGATATAAACCAAAACTTGATATAAACCAAAATTTGACATTAACCAATATGTGTAATAAAGCAATATGATATTAATTTAAACTGCTGTACATGATATTAACCAAAACTTTATATCAACCAAAACGTAACATAAACCAAAATGTGTTTGTTATAAAGCAATGTGATATTAATTTAAACCACTGTATAGGCAGCAGTTTTAAGGACATTTGTGTCTTCAGGGTCGAAAAATTAGAAAATATACAATAATTTACCAGGTATCTTCGTTGGTCAGCAAGCAGTTAAGGTATATGTCTGAATTTTAAGAGTCCCGTGTTTGATTCCTGTCTTAGTCCATCATCTTTACATTATATTGACAATGTACAAAGGGTATGGAAATTGGCTGTGAAGAGGAATGAATTGTCACTCAAGTGAATTGGAACAGTTATCAGACTTTTAGTCGGAAAAAACGTATGATATTGCTTTGGTTGTGAATTATAATGGATTTTCACTTAAATCAAGATTAATCATACATTTCTGGGAGAAAAGCGCAACATCACTAGATTGCTTGTTTAATTATTCCCAAACACATATGAAAAGTGTAAAAATATTTAAATTGGTATATATATGATGTAAACAGTCATAAAAGCTATGGATTTAATTATAATAGAATCTTGATGTCTGGAGCGCGTTTCCTGTACACTTATCGGTATAAAAGTCGTAAAACCTGTCGCTATTCCAGTAATAGAGACTCCCAGGAAGTCCCATTCTCACAATGCCTTATGACATAATTCCTGTTAACCTGACGGAGAATATTCGTACTAAAAAATCTGCAATGACTTAGTCAAATTAAATTCTTTATCGGATTGTCTGTGTTTATAAGGACTTGCACTGTTATTGTTCTACGTGTCCTGCAGATACATTCATAGATTTCGATGTTATTGCTTGATGGCAAATGTTGGTAAATTTAATTAAAATTAATGGTTCATTGTTTTTTCTCCCGATTTCATTAAGAAGGATAAAGACCACATCATAATTGGTAAAAATCTGTATAGACTTTCCATTGAAACCATGTACAACTATTGGTTACCATATGCATAAAGCAAAGACATACTAAATGTCACCTGTCCATCTTTTTTGATGACAGCATGCACTGTTCGTGTTTATCTACAAATGACATCATACACAGATCATACGAAATGACACACATGTCCATCTTGTGAAAAACTGATGGTTTCCTTGAGAAACACAAGTCTGCCATCTGTTAAACATACGTGTTATCTCCGACAGATGTCCTAAAGCCTGCGGAAATTAAACTCACAATCTGGATTTTTTTTTGTTTTTTTTTTTTTTACAAATTTCTGGAAATTTGTTCTTTTGATTGGTCATTGATCAATATTGCCAAGTTTTGAGAATTTGAGTTCTATTGCTACGTGTACTATGTAGGACAGATCAGATAGGTGACACTGGTCCCCGTATGGTTATCTTTTGCCTTGGAAACCAAACAGTTTTCCCCTTTTTTTATCACAAAAGCAGCAACATTGCAAAAGGCAGTTTCTGGATATTACAGTTGAGCCAGTTTTATAATTTGGAAAATATTTACCATGATAAAACTTGGCTGCATTTATTTGTTGATGACATCACAAGTTCATGATGTCAACTATTGCTTTCCATTTTAATTAAAGCTCCTGATGAGCCCAGAAGAGTGGAAGGCCGCAGAACAACTGAATTCCATCATTTTTAGTCGTTGAAAAGGGGACTATAGGTTTGAACCATCAGTCTGTTTAGTTTGTTCAACATTCATTCTGTCACTTTGGCTGTAGACTGTCATCCATATTTTGTGTGTATTTTATTTTTAAATGATGGAGTTTTGCTTACTGAAATCAGGGTTTGTGCAGTGCTTTATGCACAGTTATGGCCCTTTATCCATAGTTTGTAATTTTTGCCTGGGGATATCTCATATTCTCTATTTTCTTTAATTGCCAGTTGACTAAACCTAAAACTTGTCTTCACCTTAATACAGGAAATATTAATTCATGGAAGCAAATATCGACATTGAGATAAGTATAGACATTTAAGATATCGAAGGTTCTAACATCAAAGTTCAAAATGTCATTTAGATCAAGCAAATGACTAAGGATTAACTGACCTTGTTCCATCTGCAAAAATGAGTTCAAAGTTCAGTAGGTCATGGATCAGCAGGTCATCAGGTGTGAACCAGGGTCATGACAGGTCACCAGGCTGTCTGAAAATAGAAACAGTGACCTGGTTTGTCAATGAAATGTATTAAAATCATGCTGATGATCACTTCGATTTAAATATGAGATGGACACAAGTAAATTACTTTTTTTCTTCTTTCTAAACATTGTGTTTGCTTTGGTGACAAATTCCAGATTTTTAATCCTAAAGAAAAACAAAAAGTAAGTTTCTGATAAAAAGCAAACAACAATTGTATCAAGCCTACAATCACGCATCACAATATACTACCACAAATACATAGTTCATGCAACCATAAATGTTATTACAAGCTTAACTTTGTCAAAATTTTAGATCCATGGCTATTATCTCTGGATAATGTCTCTGGGCTATAAATTGCCCAGAGAACTAAAAAAGTCTGTATATGGTTCATGAAAATGTTTCTGAATGCATCGAAAAAAAGTCTGTAAGTAGAGTTTAGCCCGAGCAGTTCTTTGCTACATCATGACAGACCAGCAATACACACTCTTATCGAAGGCAAAGAAATTGTTTTTCTGTTTCCTATTCTACTCTTTGAATAATGATGGTATAAGAATGTTAGGATTTTTATAGCGTTTTGTCTTGAACATAATAAGATGTGAGCAAATTTATTTAATTTCCAAGATTGCACACAAATTAAGACTTGCGACATACTGGATATTTACAAGAAATTCTTCTTTCATCCTTGCATCTCTGAAATTGATTAATTCACATTACTGAAATGGTCTAAGATCTATATTTAGGAATGTTTTTAATGCTGTATAAAAAGTTCTTTTTTCTGCTGACACTCGTATTGAACAGATACTTTACGGCACATGTGTAAAATCAGCGTCTTTTCTTCATTTGAGACTTCTGATTTAGACCTGGACAGTCACCGTTAGTCCTCTTTCATCGACTGTTGATCTTGTCTAGATAACGAAGATCATCAGCTAATCCGATTTGATGATAGTGTCAGTTTACCTTGATTGGGAAATCAATTTTGGAAATCAATCTGCAGATGCGATTCTTTATGTCTGTTTCCGTCATATTATAGCTTAGTATCTATCGGTGTCAAAGATCAGAGCAGTTTCTCAAGGTCAAAGGACATTCCTTCAGAGATTCACAAGCTGAAATCCTTGTCTCATTAAGAGCAGTTTTGTTTCAGTAAATATAAACCTTTTTGTAAATTTTGGGGGGAAATGTTTCTTATTATTAACTCATTGAAGGGTAGTTCCCTTCGTTTAATTATTGATTTTCAATATACGTCAATTTGAAAAGAAGAAAAAAAAAGGGAAATTTTGTGCAATATCACTACAGCTGTACTTAGACACACTACAGCTGTACTTAGACACGATACAGCTGTACTTAGACACACTACAGCTGTACTCAGACACGATACAGCTGTACTTAGACACACTACAGCTGTACTTAGACACGCTACAGCTGTACTTAGACATGATACAGCTGTACTTAGACACAATACAGCTGTACTCAGACACACTACAGCTGTACTTAGACACACTACAGCTGTACTTAGACACACTACAGCTGTACTTAGACACACTACAGCTGTACTTAGACACACTACAGCTGTACTTAGACACGCTACAGCTGTACTTAGACACAATACAGCTGTACTTAGATACACTACAGCTGTACTTAGACACACTACAGCTGTACTTAGACACACTACAGCTGTACTTAGACACACTACAGCTGTACTTAGACACGCTACAGCTGTACTTAGACACAATACAGCTGTACTTAGATACACTACAGCTGTACTTAGACACACTACAGCTGTACTGAGACACACTACAGATGTACTTAGACAAGATACAGCTGTACTTAGACACACTAGAGCTGTACTTAGACACAATACAGCTGTACTTAGACACGATACAGCTGTACTTAGACACACTACAGCTGCACTTAGACACACTACAGCTGTACTTAGACACAATACAGCTGTACTTAGACACAATACAGCTGTACTTAGACACAATACAGCTGTACTCAGACACACTACAGCTGTACTTAGACACACTACAGCTGTACTTAGACAAGATACAGCTGTACTTAGACACACTACAGCACAAGTTGACCCAAGTAATGAGGCTTAGTGAATTTCAATATGACACAAATTTACCCATAGTGAGGCTTTGTATTCTGATAACATAATTAAGCTTTCACATGTGTATAATGTCACATGTTTTTCGACCACCAGAAAAGACTTTCTTCTCCTTTTCATTGCATAACATTTACTTTCATCTGTCTGCTATAGATCGATAATCGATACTAATCAATAATTAACGCGGCCACATTCTCAGTAGTCTCCGTGACAGTGATTTGTTGTCTGGTTTCCACACGGATGAATGATGTGCATTTTTGTGTATGAATCAATGCTATTTCAATGCAAACTCTGGACATAAATCTGTATCAAATTATTCATCTCGCAAATGAGAAGACTTGTTAACTTTTGGCAAATAATTAATATCGGGCAAAAAAAAAAAAAGGGACATTTGTTTCCACGCTATTAAGGTGTGTTAAGTTTAACAAAAAGGCTTGTATTGAATGCAAATATGGCGTCCAACAAATTATTTATCACAAAACATGACATATAAATGCTGAGCGTATTTTTGTTCATTTTGTATGAATCATTTGCTTATTTATCGTGATGATGCTGACAGACGTGTCGTTAACAAATCGCTTATTGTCGTCATAACGAATCACTTACTGTCCTAATAGAGGCATTTTAACTCGGCAAAATGAACGAGACCCAAAAATAAAGACATCTTTGATATTTACAAATGGTTATTTTCTCTTGTTAAGAAATCATATTGAATTTGTCATGACACTGCAGCAGTGTATTTAGAGGTTATGTCATTTATTTCATGGCTCGTAATGTCATCAAAATGCAAATAGATGAAATTAAGTACAAAGACATTTTAGCCATACAGACAGAATACAATTTTTTGGGAAAAAGATATGAAGATTAATCAATAGTTTTATTATTCATTCAGTATTTATATATACCCAATGAAATGAGTCTACGTCGGGTGTATGTCTATACAGCTGTTTATTCCAGATGAAAAATCCCTGTTTGAATATCAGCACTGAGTGTCTCAAAATAGATTTTATTATCTCCCCTCCATATTTGACCTCATAAGAACCCCAGTTACGGGTGAATGACAATTTGGTCTCTTTAATTTAGACACATTTGTCCGAAAATTTTATGTTGGTCACTGTAACCGTGTATAACCATGGCAATTTCGTTTTTTAATAGATATCGCACAAATTTTGAGGTAGTAGTTGTCTTAGAACTTACAAAACCAACAAGATTACTTTCGGAAATTATGAAGTCCAGAGTGAAGAAAAAAGTCCTGAATTTTACTATAACAATTGAGGTTATATTGGCACTATCATTTGAGCAAGTTTCGTCCTTCTATCAAATACTGAAAGTTGTTTTACTTGTCGTGTTCAGTTTCTTTACTTTAAATTATGGAATATTCTGGATTATCATTTTGATTTTTAAACTCATGTCTTATGCCAAGCCAACATTTTCTTGTTCGTAAATATAATTATTTGATAATTTCTATATGAAAATTTCTGTCTTATAACCATTTTACTCTTTAGATACTAATTCAATTTCTCTCACTGAGTGAATTATTTTTGTATAAATGAATTTGTTCAAGTCAGTGATACAATTAATATAGTAGGGTCTGAGTGTCACAGAATTTACTGCATGGCCTGCAGGTCTATGTAATAGACAGGAAACGTTTATGTGCCTATCTCAATCTTCCACAATTTTTTTTATATACAGAGCACATTTATGATGTATATATATATATATATATATCTGGCACTTGTTGTAAGTCCATGCAGTTATGTTGAAATCAAATGTATCTCACAAAGTAGGGTAACATTAAGTTTGTGTGTACATTGATATGTATTCCTGTGGAATATTTATCAGATAATTACATCAGAAGTATGTATTACAGCAGACAGAAGCCATTAGGGAAATACAGATAGATATATATACATATACATGTACAGTATTTTATATATATACATATACATGTACAGTATTTTATAATGAAAGCTGCATCAGGAAAACAGTAGCATCCCATTTATTCAACTCTTGAACCTCAGAATGGAGCTTAGTGCTTAATGCTATGTGTATAACAAACAGAGTGTAAAGTTCAGTAAACCATGATATCCCCATTCCTCCCCCTTTCCAATTTGAAAATTTGAAAACAAAAATAAAATATACAGAAGAAGAAAACAAACTTGGGACCCATCAATTCTTTAGTAAATGAAGCTACCAGGAATTGCCAACATGTAGTATCAAAATGAAGGATGAATATACTTTGCTAAGGGAAGTAACTCTAAGCCTAGAAAAAGGGCTTCATGTGGTTTTATCTTCTACATATAAGGGAGAATGTTCCAGTTTGAAAGAAATAATAACAACAACTCTGAAGTGAAACGCTTCTTCAAAATTAACCCATTCACTCCTAAAGTCACATTTGAACCTTACCCAATCAAATACTAAACAAGTCCAGTTTAAATATGTAGGGGTGAATGAGTTAAAACTGATGCAGTGGTAATCTTCATCTTAAGCCTGATTGTTTGTCAAACTGTTTCCTGTTTTGTTTTATTTAATTAAAATCAGGTTAGGGAAGGGTTCTCCTTCTTGAATCATCTGATTCAGTACTTCCTTTGGTCAGCTCGCCCTGTTTACCTGTCAGGTTTATTGTGTATATTTGACCCTACATCTGTGTTAGTGTGTATTTGATATAACTGTCTCCCCAGAGTATACAAACCTGCATGTACTGGTCAGTTGGTCAATCAGACTGACCACTCAAATGAATACACCTGAGGATCAGCCTATATAGTAATCCAATAAACAGTCTGGTAAATGCCTTTTGAGATGGCCCCTGGCAGCAGAAAGCTCACACAGATAAGTTTGTACTATAGGTAACTTATAAGTGCAACGAATTTGGAAAATCGTTGAGATTTTTTTTCTGGGAT